GATTAATTCCAGTTTTTCTGGTACTAAGTTCAGGATTTTCATCAATAGAATTTAAAACTGCTTCTTCAATTTCTAGAGACCAGGTCGATGGCCCCTTTTAAATAATTATTCGCCCTGCCTGCTAACCAAAACTAATGTCAAACAACCGCCTTAACAACAGAATTAATAATGCTTACAGGCACAGCCTACTACAATGATAAGAAATAATTATAAAGACTTCAACAATACACCTCAGAGTTTTAACAAACCAGATAGACAGTAACTTAAGTAAGACATAACAATGATAATAACTCTCTGCATGCTGTAATATTAACGATATTGTTATGCCAATGCACAGAAGGGATTTGATTTTTTTTAGGAGAAATTATATTTCTTTAGAAATGAAATCAATATACGTAGTCCTTCTTCTGGTCACTGGCGTACATCAATGTCTGACAAAATAGACCGGTAAAATTAAGTACGTCCGCCACTGGTGTAAGGCAAACTAACTGACCAACTAACCAACAACCATTTTTTTTATCATTACAAAAATTGTTACTAATAAGTAAGTTATTAAATATTTTAAATAATAAATAGTTATAATTATTATATATAACATCATGGATAGTTGACAGCAGGGCACGACGGCCAGAATCTTAGCCAAAATCTGGGTAAATTTAGTTAAATCTAGTCAAAAGTAATTCGACTTTATAGTTAAAAGCCACAAAAAATAATTATGTGGGCCCCTTTTTTTTTAAAAAATGTGGTACCCTAAATATTGCCTCTTCTTACAAAGAACACGTGTACCAAATTTCATTAAAATACCTAAAGAGGTATTACAGATATTAAAAAAATAAATTTAATTTTTGAAAATTTTACCACTCTCTATCTCAAAAGTTAAGCGGTGTTCATATATATGAAGTATTCTTTTTAAAATGGACCCCAAAATCGCCCTCAATTATTGACATTCGATTAAAAAACGTCCTCTATATATACACACACACACGAAGAAATCCCTCGCATACCGCGGTGTGACGCGTAATCTAGGGAAACGCAGCCACCTGCGACATTATTGACTCGATTCCCAATTGTTCGGGGGTTCCGAACCCCCGCCGGGGTCGGTTCCTTTTTACGGGGGCAATTCCCAAGTTGTCAAGTGACTTTTGAGTTATTTTGGTCGCCGACAAGTGGCTCAGGAGCTTCCCGCTGCGCAGTGGCGTGGGTGGCATGGACTACCGACGTTCGGAGACAGTAAATATATAGACGTCAGTTCTCTTGAACCGAGCGTGACGCGGTGGCGGTACGCGGGGGGTGATTTATTGTACTGCCACCTCCGAGGACGCCTTAATTTACCATACCTTACGAAATTTTAAAATTCGGTGGCGTTTAAGCGTCAATCACATCGAGCAATAGACCCTAATATACATGGTGTCAAATTTGCAATTTCATTATTCATTTTTTCAAAATAATTGCTGAAACCACTTTTCGTGAATAATTTTGAGGAAAGTTGCAGATGGCGCTACGTATGGTGCTTTCCGTGCGTTTGATAACTCTGTGCAGATTCTTTTTTGCACCAAATAAATATCGCCCAGAGTCATCATTTTCATTTCATTTTCATCAAGTAATATTTAAAATTTCATTTTTTATGCAATCAATTTCAAAATAACGCAGATAATGCATATATCTGAGCTAATATGGTGGAACAAATTTTTACAGGGTTTTCAATATTACAGCCAGGGAAAAATCTCAACGTCAATGAAAACAATTTTATGGAAATACAAATTTCATTTGAATTCACTGCGATGCATTTAGACAAGCGTTTATTAACTGGGAATTTAACTAAAGGACAATGATAATTTTTTATTTAGCTTAGAGATCAAAAATTATTATTTATTATTATTATTTATTATTATTATTGTTATTAAGTTAAGCCTTATTTAAGTTGGCAATTGAGAAGTCGTTGAAAAAGAGTGTATACCGCTCACAAAGTTGAAACAAATTTAATTGAGAATTTGGTTAAGCTTAATAAAAAAATTGAAAAATTTTAAATATTATTTCTACACTTTACAATATTCGCATTATATTAAAAGTGGATTATAATTGGGAATTTAAATGATAAAATATTGTGAATAATTTTTTAATAAGTTTACCTTGTTCGGGAATTTAAATAACTGGCAATTTAAATAAAAGATGGCGACAATTAATTATAACAAATAATAAATATATATTAATTTATATAACTGATAGTAGTCAAACCCTGAATGACCATATTATATCTAATAAAGAAAACCTGTCTCAAAAAGTACACTTGAAAAGCATGATGTTGCCGTGATTGGGAATAGATTTGTAGAAGATGCCGTACTACATACAATGTGTTCAGCAGTATAAAGAAAAGATATGAATAACATATGAAATAATTGAATTGATGAAAGAGATTTATTTTTGGTTAGTCAGAGACGTTGAAGAAATGAAATAAAGTATGAAAAAGACAAATACTTCAGAGAGGCAATTGATGAAAATGAGCAAAATTCAAGAGACCTTTGGAAGACGACATTACTCCCGAATAATAGTCTATTCAGGCTAAGGGACTGGTGAAAACTGATAAGGATACAGCCAGTGAATTTAATACATATTTTTTGCAGAGCATAGAGGATATTATATCATTTTCTAAGAGGAATGGAAGTCACCTTTGGTTGAACACTGTGCCAGTGTACGAGAAATTATTGGAACTCTTGCGCGACTGTGATGGTTAGCAAAAAATATGGGTATAAAGCACTTGGCCTTGGGTTGATTAAAATCTTACTCGTCTGCAGAGCGCAAGAAGTGAATCAGCTATGCCTGAATCTATCTTGGAAAAGTAAAAGGTAACACAGGGGACAGGATAAATGATATAGCTCAAGTTGGGAAAAATACAATTACATTATTTGCTGACAATGCAATGATATACAATATAATATACAATTAAAGTTTGATTCACATTGTGACTATATATTCAAAAACTTTTCACAATTGGTGGGTTTTATATCCAGAACCGGTAAAAATTTAAAAAAAATAATACAAAATGGTTACTTTACAATAGCTCGGCGTCACCAAGTTCGCAGTATTGTTATGTGGCTATTGTTTAATATACCTAAGTATAGGCAAACACGATTTCAGAGGTTGTGCTGCATATAATAACTGTACAGAAGAAAGTAATGTTTGATGCGTTTATATTGACATTTATTATAAAAAATAAACTCAATCCATCCTAGTCAAACTGCACATATGTTGAATACTACAGGTTTGCTAGAGTTTAATCCGCTGCCAAAAAATGTTAAGGAGTGCGATAATTGAAATGCTTTCAAAAGATTAATCAAAAACTACACATTGGCTAAAATTTTATTCTGAATTTTGTCATAGTTGTTTTGTCGTTGTATAGTTTTGGTTCTGTATGTACCGTGTTGTGTTATTTAAAATTTGTTGCTGGCTGGTAAAGTCTGTTCATAGATATAAGAAAGTGACTAACTTATACGAATCATGGAAATACCCAGGTAAGCTGTAAGAATGAAATATTTCGAAACAGATCCGTACTTTGCTTAGAATTTAATTATTTGAGGTTTTGTTAGGAAAGATATAAAATAATATTTATTTATTTATGTACTTATTTATGTTTAAATCTAAAATAAAATTACTTAATTACTTAAAATTATTCACATAATATATCAGTATCACTATCGCTATCATCGCCTGTTCTAATTATTATTGTAAACGTAAATCCTATTTTTTTCTAGATATTCCAGTCGCCATTTCCGAACTCCAAAAGATTCCATTAAAACTTGTCTTATTTTCAATTTTTTCAAATTTAAAATCCATGTGTTGAATATAAGCCTCCTAATTAAGATATCTAATGTAGGCACGCTTTGTTCCTCATATATTATATCTTGATCACTTTCATCTACACTCGAGAAAATGTCAGCATCGCTTCTTTTTTTCCTCGCTGAAATGGGATTATTCACAATTTTCCATATAGTTGATGCTGGAATTTTCGTCAATGTGGCCGTTTCTTCTAAAGATGGTTGCTTGCTGGCACCGCGTTCAATGAGAGTCAAATAAACATTGCCTATAACTTCCTTAGTCTCAATAGAATAGTGTTTTCTACATTTGGGCGGGAGCATCTCCTGAGATACACTAGACTCGCAAATATTTTGCATAATTCGCACACGATTCAACACACGCTGTATTACACACGAAATAAGAATGATTACTAATAAACTTAAACTATGTAGTATACCAAACCTAAGAATATTAAACACAGGTAGCTATTACGGACCACAATTTTACTCCATTTAAATTCTGAGACTTTAGGTAATAATAATTGTATGTTAATGACCACCCTTGGGTATTCTTATATCTATGAACAGACCATACTTTTACAGTGTAACTACGATTGTTATTTGTTATAGTTTTTATGTCAAATAAAGTATATATTTATTGTAATTTTGCCTACGAGATACAAACAAAGTGAAAAGTGCATTTTTTTTAAATTGAACACCCTATACATTATCACATATTTTAAGAGCAAATTAATTTGGCATAATTCATCTTGTATTTATTAAATAATTCATTTCCAGTTCAATAAATATTTACACATTATCGATTTTGGTACAAATTTCGTCGACGAAGTTCACGGATAACCGTGTAAGAAATAAACATTTTTTATGTATTTTGTGACAATCGAAAATAAATAAATGACAAATTTTTAAACAAGTAATATTGAACTAACGCCATGCCGGAATTGCGTTTCGTCCTCCTAGCTTGCTAAAATTTCACGACGTGAAATTATTAAAAATAAATCGCTTTCATAGCGGCCCGAGGCAGTTACCTTGAGGCAGACCGCTGAGATAACGAGTGGTGCGCACCCCTGTCGTCTCGAGGGGGTAGCGGGATCGGTCTCTTTTGTATTACCACTCTCTGTGCGGGCACATAAGTCCGACTACTACGCTGGTCCAGCAGCAGCAGCAGCAGCATCAGTCGCGTTTACGGTGTTAGTGAGGGAAGACTTGAAAACGTGATATCAGGTGTCTCGTAGTTTTGGGTCGCTTTGCGAATGCGGTGTTTTGATGGCGATACCCGTCCGCCTCGCTCAGGTAAAACGCTTATTTAAATCGCGAGATCAAAGCGGTCGCCGCCGCATACAATGTCGCGCGATTTTTGAGGTTAGGTGCTTGCAAAAATTCCCGCCCGACAACGGTCTTCAACTCTCACGTCAAGTTGACTCCCCTTACCTCTTATCGAAGATTAAAAAATACTTTTTTGCTCTGAAATTATTTATTTTGTTGCACTTAAGAATACATTACATGTATCAAAAAAAAAAAAAGATAAAAACTCGAAACATACAAAAAAGTATTGGTGCGTAAACGAACCACTGGGAAAAAACATTAAATAATGTTTTGAAAAGTTCAAATTTGACAGAAAACAACTAAATTGGACGCATAATATTTTATGGTGCGGGAGCGCACCACTCGTAACACCCGGTTTCATTTTAAGTTTTTAAAAGTTTTTAAAGGTCGCAAAGCAATGTAAGATTCAAAATCTACCTGGGAAATATTTTGGTCGTTTACATTATTAAACAATTTCCGTGCATTCACTACTAAACTATCCAGTGAGTTACAAAATAAAGGCCACCACCATTTCTTTTCCAAATACCTCTGTAATTAGCAATTCCCCTGTCATGTAAATCTACCCCACCAATATACCTATTGTATTGGGCAATTACATAAGGTTGGGGTGTATTTACATCTTTCCGTTCTTTTATATTATAGCGTTTTACATTTTGGAATTTTTTGAAATTTCTGATTGAAATGATTTACAATTTTCCATTGGACATTTATTTGTTCTATTTTCCCGGATAGTATCGGTGGCAAAATAACCAAGACGCTAATTGTTGGATGTTTATAATACATGCGCTGACATGCCTAGTGTCAAAGTTTCACAGATAAAACCAGTGGTTTTGTTGCGTTATCTGTCGCAACAGATTTTACCTCGCAGTCAAATTGTGATTTACGTAAAGGAATTAGGCCACAAACTACTTCAGTAAATATTGTGAAATATGCGGTTTCAATGGTTTCGTAAAGAAGTGCTTGTCCATTTCAATTTTTTGCTTATGGTGGACGTTTGACCACCCGTCAATGGACATACTCACACATTGTCCTGACAGGGAGAGAAGAAAAACTTTTTGTGTTTTTCTCCTCATACATTTCGTCTAAAAGGCTTGTTGATAACGTTTTCCTTTATGGGTGTATGGGTCTTAATAAGTAATAGCTTTTTGTACGTCAGAGTTGTCAATGCGTCGAAAACTGGAATCTTTTCGTTTTCAGCATTACGAAACTACGCGAATTGGGCTGATTTTTTCAGTTTTTTTCTTTTTGTCGTGAAACTCGAGCCACACGATGTAGTAGCAAGATCTACAGAGCTGTCGTCAAGCGACATTCGAGTGCCCAAAAAAAAAAAATTAAAAAATTAAAAACGTAATTTATAAATTTATATTATTGTTAGTAAACAATAAACCATATACGTTGAAAATCGTCGTGTACATTCAGATCAACAAATTATAAAATATAAACACGAACTACTTTTTTTATGTATCGTATATAATTTTTTTTTAATTTTTAAACATTAACATAAATAAAACACGTATGGAATCACAGTTAAAAATCACAATTAAAATAAAAAAAATAAAAAAAAACTTTTTTTAAATATATCTTAGATATTTTTTAATAAAAATCAAAGTTTTCCCAACTCTGATCACAAAAACCATTCAAATTTTGGGGTTGGTCACCAAAATCAAACTGCAAAAAGTGCAAAACCCTGCCTTATTGTAATTTGATTTCTGTTTTTTTTTACAGGCGTTTATATTCAATTATCTATTGTTAGACAGCGAAATTAGATAAAATAAATGATTTAATTAAACGCATTTAAAGTGCCAAAATTAGGTACGCACAATTTTTATTCATTAATTAATTCGTAAGATAAGGGAAAAGAAAGGGGCATATGTGCCTCAAAAGTTTAATAATACTAATCTAATCATTGAATTAGACCGATTAATATTAAATTTAACTATAGAATTCAAACAGATTCAATTTGTTTATTGATTTGCGATTTGCATCGAAAGTTCAGGGTAAGTAAAGTTCATTATATGGTTCATATATGGCAAAAGTTATGAGAAAATGGTAAATACAAAGATTGCTAATTTATATATTCATTTTTTTAAATGCCCTGTTTTTAAAATTCGTTTTGGATTCCTTTTAAAATTCTTCAAATTTTTTATTAACAGTATCGCATACCTAAAACCCGTAGTTTTTTAAATATTTTAATTTTTCTAAAAAGAAAAACTAAAATTCTAAAAAGATGGTAAAATACAACAAACAAACACAACAACAACAACTTTCATTTTAACTTTTAACTTTAGCCTTATTTATGTCTAATACTATTGCTATAGCATTCCTGGGCCATGACAAAATGATATACAACACCAGAAGGAATGCTAAGGAATGTCTAAGCAGAAAGGCATATTTTTGAACATTTATTGGGCCATAATAAAAATTGAAAATCACTCATATTGCAGCAATAGTCTTAGACATAAACAAGGGTAAACATTGGAAAAGTTGAAATATAGTCTTATAAATAAAAACACACCGAAAAACGAAACAAAATTAAAGTTACATTTTTGGGCTAACTAAATTCACACAAAATTGGCCAATATTTTTTTCGACTTTTAACCAATAATTTTTCATCCATCCGCAAAAAGACTTATTCGTATTTCTTTTGGGCACTTTGGTACTCTTTGATGTTGACATCTCAAAAATTTTGTATTTATTTTTTATGTTGTTTTTTTGATTTTTCAAAGTTTCAGGGTGTATTGATTTTAAAATAAGACACCAAGTACTTAAGTTTAAGAGAACTTATTAATTATTATTTTCCTTAAAAGAATAAGGGCCAGGTTCAAAGTCAATAAAATATTTTTTTAGGAGATAAACGTTAAAAACGTTTTCGTCAACTAAAACAGACACATTTTTCGCTTAAGTTATTTTTATTTTCACCGACGAAATATAACATATACCTTTTTAAATTCCAGAAAATGAAATTTCCGGTAAAAACTGTCGGTAAATGAAATTTCCCTCCGGTATATAAAATAAAAACTCCAACCCAGCGGAATTTGTTAATTCGGAACCAATGCGTCGATAATAAAACAAAATTTGAATTTCGATTTCGATTGAAGAGAGTGTGGAGAATTTTTCGTCTATTTAAAAAAAAATCGTTATTTTTCGCTTCAAACTTTAAAAATAATTGTTTTTCAAAGATTTAACAATATAACAAAAAAAACAAAACTAAAATTACGTTTCTGGGATAAATAAATTTACCAAAATTCACACAAAAATCCTAGTATTTCTTTGATTTTCAAGCAATAGTTTTTCACAACCTGTTCCATCCCCAACCGCGTACCCTTTAACACTGACATCTCAAAAATTTAATATTAATATTTTTTTATATTGATTTTGCATATTTTTTTTTTCAAAAGTTGAGGGTATATTGATTTTGAAATTAAACATAAAGTCCGTAAGTTTAAGGAAAGTTCAATTTTATCGAAGAAAACTTTCGAATGACCTTAAAATTGTCAATTGCCAAAATTTAAAAAATATATATTTTTTTTCCGCTTCAGAATTTTAGAATATTTTAAAAAAATATTACTTGATATTTATTTAGTAACTTACCTCGTTGTTGTGGTGGCACGGCCGATGTTACCTTCACCCCCGTCGGGAAACGTCGTTTTTGAGATTACGTCGGCCGCTGGCGCGCATAGTAGGCCCGTCCTCTTCTTCTTTTTTATGCCCGTATCGAGATTTGTCGCACTAATTGCAAGATCAAACAGCGGCACGAGTAACGAGGTGGCCGATCGTGAACAACTCTAGATAATTATACTTTAATAAATGGCTTTTGGGTTCGATCGAGAATCCGCTCTGTCGGCACGCGGTCTTTGAAGTCGGGCCGCTTCTACGTCGCCTCCCGGCCCGAAATGTTTTAGCCACACGACCGGGAGGATGTCTTCGAGGGTTTATCGGTAGAAGGAAATGCAAAAAGGACCAGAGGACAATTTAATAAAGGTCAAAGTTCAAAGTAAATGATTGTATTAACAAAAACAAAGGTAGATACTGGTATACTTCGACCAGAAATATAGTGCTTTTACAACCGACCCCGTGATTAACTTTTCCTACTGTTTATTACTCCAAAACCGCAGCCCTTACAGAACGCCCTGCTAAACAGACCCATAAAGTTTGTTCATAGATATAAGAAAGTGACTAACTCCTACGAATTAAGGAAAGACCCGGGCAAGCTGTAAGAATGAAATATGGCCGAACAGGTCCGTACTTTGCTTAGAATTTATTTGGGGTTTTGTTAGGAAAGATACTAAACAATAAAATTAAAATTATTCACATAATATCACTATCACTATCGCTATCATCGCCTGTTCTAATTATTATTTGTTCTGCTTTTTCTATATGTTTAACAGAATTTGCCCAACTTTGTGGAGGGATGTTAAAAACTTCGGTTTCTATAAGTTTGAGGACATTGGAGTTAACACTGGGAAAAACATTGTTACGACGAATGGCAGATTTCAGTTGGTGCGAAACATGTTCAATGGGATTAAATATACAGTAGTAAGGTGGAAGCCTTAAAACTGTATTCCCTAGATTTTTTGCATAATTATCACCTATGTTTGGATTTAGTTTGTTTTTAAACCAACTTTCAAATAAATCGGCGGTGGTGTCTTCATGGTAATCCAGCGAAGAATCTTTAATATTTTTCGCAGACCGAGAAAGTCCATTTGGAATCAACCATCTTTAGAGCCAGCATGCAAAATAGTTATTCTTTTACCTCTTTTTGATGGCGCGTTTGTTTTATACTTATCAGTTGAGTTAACCTAACCCTTTTCCGGGGTATCATAAGTGTCGAACCAGGTTCCATCCAAGCAAATAATTGGCCTTTGGTGTTCTCTGTAAATCCTAATTTTTTCTAGATATTTCAGTCGCCATTTCCGAATTCTAAAAGATTCTATTAAAACTTGCCTTTTGTCAATTTTTTTAAATCT